GCGGTGATTGTTTTATGGTCAAAACGATTTTTCCAATTTTTTGTGTTATTTTTCCTGAAGCGATCACCAGCAATCCTATAGGACCCTAAAATTGCAGACTCTGAAACTCATTCTTTGGAGAAGGAAAAATCGTGGCAGTTGGAGTACTTTTCCCGTTGACCTACATACGACGCTGTGGTAAAACTGGATTATGCAAGGAATCGGCGCGGTGATTGTTTTATGGTCAAAACGATTTTTCCAAGTTTTTGTGTTATTTTTCCTGGAAAGATCACGAGCAAACCTACGGGACCCTAAAGTTGCAGACTCTGAGACGCGTTCTTTGGAGCGGGAAAAATCGCGGCAGTTGGAGTACTTTTCCCGTCATCCCACAAACGACGCTGGGTGAGTGTGACACTGTGTGTTTGCTGTAATCAGGAGCCTCCCAAGCGTGCACACGTTCATCTTCCTCTACAGAGATATACATATCATCGTGTTGTTTTCGTCAGAATTCTTTGTGTGACTTTGTCAGTTTGCAGCGCAGATCTCAACGGATGAAACTCTACTAGTGCATTGTCATTGGGCAATCATAGCGATCGGTTGAGAGAGTGAACGACAAACCGCAGGGGGGGAAGAGACACACACACACAGACACACAGAGAGACACACACACACCGACATAGAGAGAGACACACACACACACACACAGTGAGAGACAGATTGAGAGAGAATTCTAGTTTTGACTTTGCTATTCTTTTATTTATTTACTATTGCTGTTTATTTCCTAAAATCAATTTCTGTAAACTTGTGGATATCATCCCTACAGGTCGCCGAGGACCTCGGAAGCGGGCGCGGCGAAGTGACAGGCGCCGTAGCCCATGGCTTCAGCGAACGGTAGGTAGCCCCTCCCCGGGTTCTCTCCCAACAGCGTGAAAGCAAGATGGGAGAAGAGAGAGAGAGAAGAAGAAACAGTTACGGGGAAAGAGAAAAAGGAGGGAGAAGGGAAGGAAGCCGCGGGAAGGAGCGAAGCGGGGGACAGAGAGGAAGAAGCTTTTGCATGCATGGCGTTGTCAACGAAAAAAAAAAAAAAAAGGCACCGAAACAGCTACAGCTTGCTTTTATCATAATTCACCACATCCGCGCGCAAAAAAGCGACGCGGGAAAAGAAAATCTTACGCCTATTCGTATTTACGCAAAACATTCGAGAGTTTTCCCCGACGCGCCCAAGAACATTCATGCACCCAAAAAGGACACGTCGAAGTTCCGCTTATCCCGGAATTCCCAACCACTGAGCCCAATCCCAGTGCGCTCGCTAAGGCGCACATGAATTCCCATGTATTTCCCGATTTTGCAAGCAAAGAAAAACATAACTCGTTAGTTGAAAAAGCTCTCCAAAAAGGAAAATGCGACACTCGAAACCGGCACCCGAAAGCAAGAAATCGAAACGGGGCCTTCCTGGGGTTGGTATGATGCAAGCAAAAGAAAGGATACGAAAGATAGCACGGGGTCGGGGAGTGGTTCGTCACATATGTGACGCACAGGGGGTTCCAAAATTATGCGATCTCCTGATTGCACGTCACGACAAAAAAAGAAAAGGGGAGATCAGAGTGATGCATGAGGAAACAACAGAGCAGAAGGAAGTACAAGGAACGATAACTTGAGCCTCGGATGAGATGACGACAACATCTGTGGCAAGATCTCTGCAGCCCTGTCAAATGCAACCCTCTGCCTCATGGAGATCGTCCAGGTGACGCCATCATGGTCCACCCGATCTCCGTGTGCTCTGCATCCTTGCTCGTTGCCGTCCGTCGAATCAGCGTGTAGGTTGACGTCATCATCGATGGCGTGATCTTCGTGAAGCTTACTGATTCGAGGTGGGGTGTCAAGTGAATAAGATCTACCACCGCCTAGTTGGAATAGGCCAGTAGAGGCGGTTCATGTCGGGGATCTCGCGAGGATGACGGGGAGGGGGTGGGGGTAGGAAGCGATTCATCTCTTCCATCGTCACCGGGAGTTCCTCGTATCGGATGATCCGGTGGAAGCGGGGGAAATGATCACCACTGCGGGGGAGGGAAGCGAGGTAATCGTGATAGAAGGAGGAGAGGGTGCGAAAAAGTGCCGCTCGAAAGTTCTCGAAGTGGCGACAGGCGGGGATTGTCCCGGTGGCAACGCAGTAGACTTCTACGACGTTGCTTTGCTCCCATGCCGCGCTAAAAAGCAGGAGATGCCAACAGAATGTGGGAGCAGCAGACCGAAGGGAGGCGTGGGGGTGGACTGTGGCGAGTAGACGGGTAGAATAAAAGCCGCGGAAGATATGGGGATGGAAAGGATGGGAAGGGAAGGTGACGGGGGTGCGGATCTGCTCGAGGGTGAGGAAATCAAGAGGTCGGCGGGACAGCGTCCGAGGACGAAGGCCTATCGCCCGCATCGGTACGTGGGCGAACTGGGGGACGGGTGGAGCTGGAGGAGGAGGGGGATCGGCGTCGTCTCCGTTGCGTGGTACTTGAGGTGGCGGCTGCAAGGCCGCCATCGTCGGGCCTCGGCGGCTCTGGATCCCTGATGCGCAAGCTATCCTCGCTGGCGCACTCCAGCTGGCGCTTCCTAGCGGCAATTTCTTCGCGTTTTTGCGCTGCTTCCGGATCTTCTGTCTCCGTTACCGTACGCGTCGCTTCCTCCGGCAGGGCTTCCCTCTCGGACCCTGTTCCCTCTTCTTCCTCTTCCACCTCACTCAGCTCGCCCTCGTTATGTTCACTATGGCTTCCCTCCTCTGATGTTTCCTCGTCGTTGTCTTCTTCTTTGTCGTTGTCGTTGATCACCACTTCTTCTGCCCTCGGGTAGAAGGCGTGAGGGATGATGTCGTATGGATTCAGATACTCCTGCCGCGATGGTAGCGTATCCTCGTCCCTAGGTTCCTCCAAGCACGAAGTCCACTGAAGGTACGGATCCAAGGATCGCTCGAAAATGTACGGAGCAGGACTGTTGTCTCTCTGAAAGTAGATGTCGGGCGAGAGATCGTCTGCCAATTGTACGATCAGTGCGATGAGCTCCTGTGCAATCAACTAACGGCGACCCGGTTGTACCGATCCAAAGAGGAATCCAATAAGATCTCCTTCCGCGTTAGTCTTCCAACCCTGTATGATCAATAGTTCCGGATTCTCGATCCACGTGGGATGCTCGACAGTGCCCGTCCACTTCACCTGTACTCGGGTCACGCACAAGGACAGCTCCTCAAAAGTCTCACGCCACACTCGCCAATGTCCGGGATGGATAAGGGGGACCGAAAGAGGTTCGAATGAGAAGGAGAGAGAAGGGTGAAGATCGGATTGCCAGAAGGTAGGGAAGAAAGAGGGAAGACCAAGGGTAGAGAGCGGAGCGAGAAGATTGGCGTGGTTCATTGGGGATGGGGGAAGGGGACGAGGGTTGGAATCGCAACTGGCTGCTCGCGCGGTGCTCGGCGAATGCCGTCAAGGTCCGATGCAGAGATCGGAATAATGTTATATCCTTCTCGAGCGAGGATGTGCTGCCATACGTTGGACACTTGATCCGTCCACTCGCGTAGTGAGGCCAAGATCACGGTATGCCTTTGCGGATTGACCGAGTTGATGTCACCGGTGAATACCGCCGCTGTGGTGACGTGGCTTGTTCTGGGACCCGCTCGCCGATGAGCTGCAATAACCTCCGCGAATACTATCGCTCGAGGGCTTCCTTCTATCCGAAATGCGGCGGCAGCACAGATACCTTCGTCGCAGAAGAATCGCATCAAACGGCGGAGATCCGTATTGAGCCGAGGATGACAAACTTGCCAGATCTCTGAGATGTCGCCACGCGGCTGCCGCAGCTGTGCGTCAAGAACCCGCTCCGTAACAAAACTCATGGTGAGGTCGGAGAGGAGGACGAGGGACAAGAGGGAGGAAAAGGAGAGAGGGTTAGATCGTCGTCGTTTTCCTCGCTTTCCGAAGGAGACAGAGGTAGGAGGTATGTCGGACGATGGGGACGGAGCTATGGCTGGCGCTAGCCTCTGGTGCGATGCGCACCGTGTGAGCGCCGTTGGGTCCAAGTTCGACAGCGCGAAAACAGCCAAAGAATTTGGGAGCGAGTTTCCGGTCACGTGCACATTTACGTACCTGCACTAGGTCCCCCAATTTATTAGTACTGCGGCTCAGCATTTCCATTTCGAGCCTCATAGCTGCGGACCTGTCTATCGTGGGCCAGTTCGGTCATCCTTTGCCTTTTCTGGGCTAGCTTCGGAACGGCCCATTCCATTAAGTCGGCGTACCTCTTGGCCTTGGCTTTGAGGGCCGCACGCGTGTCTCTACCCGTTGCTTCGGCAATTTCCTAGTTACCCCGGTAATCGACACAGGGGAGGCTATTAGTTCGAAGCTGAAAGGGGGTGAACCCCGTAGACTCGTGAGGGGTGGCCCGGTGGATCCCGACGATCTGATATACGATTTCGGGCCAAGGACGCATGTCTTGTGCCGCTAAGTTTCTGCGAAGGGCGGTTTTTATCATACTGTTGACATTCTCGGCCAACCCGTTCGACTGAGATACGTGGGGTGTTGTATGTCGGAGCGTGACGCCCCTTCGTGCAAGTAGTTCTTCTACCTCACCTTTAAACTCAGATCCATTGTCGGTTAAAATCTCTTCGGTATGTAAATGGGTATACAAAAATCGTTCGATGTACATGGCTATTTCTGCAGCCTTTCGGGTCTTACAGGGATTGACTTCGATGTACTTGGAGAAGTGGTCAATTAATACTAAACATGGCTTAAGCACATGCAGAAGTGTGTTGAGATCCGTACTTGTGAAACTTTATAAATGATATCCCAAATGAGGAAGCGTGTTCAAACCCGTACATGTTAGGCACGCCGCACGGAAACCTTGTGTGGAAGTGTGCCAGGATCCTTACTTGCTGAACTTCAAAAACATGGCACTGCTGGGAATCCTGTGCGGAAGTGTGCTGGGATCCGTACTTGTTAAACTTCATAAATGAATAACGACAGGCACGCCCATCAGGGAACCCTGTGCGGAAGTGTGCTGGAAGCCTTACTTGCTGAACTTCATAAATATGCCGTGAATCTTGTGCCGAAGTGTGTCGGAATCCGCACTTGTTAAATTTCATAAACGAATAACGACAGGCACGCGCATCAGGGAACCCTGTGTGGAAGTGTGTTGGGATCCGTACTTGTTAAACTTCAATTCCATAATTGTGACGAACAACGTGTCATGATTGCATCCTCGTTGGATACTTATATTAGAAGACGTAGAGTAGCGACAGGCACGCCCATCCGGGATGCCTATGCGATAGTGTGTCGGGAGCCACACTTGTCAAACTTTAAGTTTGTGAATGTGATGAGCAAGGGTTCATGATTGAATCCTTGTTGGATAATACTATTTTTTTTTTTTATGCGTGAGTTGTACATGCATGGCTATCGTCTCGTCCGAGGCGGTTGTCTGGATGTTGTAGAGATTYAGACTTCTTTAGAAGTACAAACAGTAACTGTTATTTTTGACATACAATTTATTTTTCCTGGTCAAGAACGTAAAATTGTTGGTCACATGTAATTCAGGCGGTCACAAGTACATGATTGTCTATGAACACAAGAGACGTGATGTCACTGGTCTTTCACTCTTTGCATAACGAACCTCACACCCACACACTCGCCGAGATTTGTCTTGCATCCACACTCCAATTCGTCATGTCGCACCACACACACGAATATCATTTTGAGGTGAATTATATGCACAACTTTGGATGAACTGGACACAACTTTGCAACGAGGACTGCAATGCGATGAATGTAATGACACGACAGACGAGCCGGACGTGACAGAGATTCCGAAGGCAATAGGCGACACCAAACTGACGGTCAACATACCAAGGACAACTCAAACTCGCAACACTGAAAGAAAGTAATATCATTGTGAAAGTGACAGTTAAAATATGAAATATTATGAAACAGAAGTTTGCAAATCAATCGAATCCATCAAAGACAACGACATTCCAAGATACATGATGCCAGTTGTCGTCTAATATACAAAATATTTTTACAAGAGAATTTGAAAGGCGGTCGATCGCCACGTTGCAAAAATGTCGCAAACATCAACATAAACACCCCGCAACTAACTCCATCCACTTGTCTTGGAACTCTTTCTATAACAACATTTGCTGCCACCGACTTCCAGCGCCTGCACGACCGCCTATTTGATGTTTGACATTCCAAATATTGTACGATCAACTCGAAAACACTAAGGTAATAACTAGAATCGGCTACAACGCAAGGAAAAGAATAAAAAATCTCAAGAACATTATCTCTCAAGCTCACGGAAAGGAGGATCCAATGATCATTATCTTTGAGGACTGGAACAAAGATAATATCATATTCAAGCAGATCCACGTTTTTAGCCCATCTTTCCACCCCGCCGTGCCCTTGAAGTTGTAGTTTACTGAAGAAGAAACAATTAAAGGTGAAGACTCGAAGGCCTGGCGGGATGTCACTTGTCCTATATGCGGTCGTTCCTAATAGCGCCATGTAGAAGTTGACCACGTCATCATTCACCCTGCCGTCGGTAAGTGAGAGGGTGAGAATATCCTTCGCTGCAATTCGCAACTGACCATCGCAGAGGGTCGAGAGTACAGTGTCAGGTGGCACCAAGCCTCGTTCAATGTCGTCCAAAACCCGCAAGCTTCCAATCGCAGTCACTGCTGCTCCAGGTGTCGTAGCCCGCACTGCACAACATCGAGCAAAGGACAGGGGGGGAAGTGAGAAACGGAACACTAAGGATTCTCCTTCATCGCACGACGAGTAGCTAAGTATTTCTCATACATGGCCTGACCCCTAGTCACAGATCGTGGATATGTCCCTTTCTCTGGGGCAGAAGGGAAAGACACTCCTCAATGGCAATGGCATGCTCCTTCTTCCCGATTTCGACATCAACCCCTGACGCCTTTAACATGTCCTTGTGTTTTGTCGTCAACCCCGGGACTGTATGCAATATGTATTCCGGATATTTAGAGGGCCTCCGTGTTTGAGACGATCCTACCCCTGTACAACAGAAGAAAGACAAAACGGAAAGTGAATACACGTTTCCGAAGAAGAACCCGACGAAACGACAATTAAAGGACCACGAAATCTAAAAGACGCAGGACCCATGCAATTACAGAACCCCGTCATGCCATGAGAGTGCGAGAGAGAGAACTTCCGCACGAGCCACGTTGCAAAACGAAATGAGTGGTGCACTCGAGCTCGACACCCCCGCCCTTCAGAAGGGAAAAGCACATCAAGTCACAGAAGCGGAAGACAAACATCTCTGAAGTCCAGATGCCGACGGACTTTTCCAACCCTGGGAGATGACCCAACCCCTGTGCAACCGAAGAAAGAGAAAACGAAAAATGAACTCACATAATCCAAGACGAATCCGATGAAAACGACAACTCAAGAACCACGAAATGTAGAAGACGCAGGACCTACCTATTTACAAAGCCCCGTTTAGCCATGAGAGAGATAGAGAATGTTTCCGCGCAGGCCCCGCTGGAAAACAAAAGGAGCAGTGCGTTCGACCTCGACACCCTCGCCCTTCAGAAGAGAAAACCTCAACAAGCCACAAACCCGGAGGCCAAACATTTGTGAAGTCAGGATTCCGGCGGACTTTTCCCAATCGAGGCACCAAAAGAGTAACCGCGTTACGCAGCGGCCTTGGCAGTGCGAATCCCGGCGGACTAAAACCACCACTCATTCCGAAAAAGAAACACCATCCTTCCATTATGTGAGGGAACGCTTCAACAAAAACACACATGTTTTTGTCTCGTACGCCCTGCACACGACCAGTGACCTGGCCGACTCACAGGATGGTCGTTCACATGTACTTGGAAGTTTGAAGGAGTGGTGGCTGTAGCATGTCAGCATCAGGAACTCCCCGCATCGACAGACACTGCGGTCACTGACGCGCAGACAGAGTGGCGTTTGTCACTGCTTACCAGTTGGTTTGTCTCTCCGCTCCTTAATCGGTGAAGTTGGCGCGGGCAAGGCCAGCACGTCGAGAGCTCGAGTGCCGGCGGCAGTTTTTTTCGGGGATGTGACATCTTGTCGTCCCCCGATCCCGCCTTCTCCTCCGCTGGCGATGGTCGGCGGCAGCATCGGAGAGTTCGTCGGCGACAGATCCCCTGGAAGGTTTGACGTCAAGAGGGTCGTCGACACCAGGCGTCAAGGACAGTTGCGCGGACATGTGGTGGTCGCCTAGGATGCCGTCGATAACTTCTTCGATGTCAATACGCACACTCGGTTTAGTTAGGCTGACTGCTACACGAGCTTCGTTGAACCGGTGTTGGAGATCGACGGCAAACGTCATTGCTTCGACCTCATAGTCATCACGTTCTGCCGAAAGGCTTGTGACCACCTGTGTCTCCATACCCAGTGTCGTGTCATCGTCGTCGTCGTCTTCCTCTTGGTGTTTTCCGTACAGCTGCCCGAATCCGTCAGACGACTCCCCAGATCTGTCATCGTCGTCGTCGAAAGTCCGTTCGTCGTCTCCTGTATCGAGTTCACCTTTTTTCCCCTCCTGCCCTCCTAGCAACCCAGCCAACTCCGTTTCTTCCCCTTCCTCTCCTTCATCCTCTTCTTCCTCCCTTTCCTCCCCTCCCCCTCCAATTCCTCCCCTGTGTCTCCTTCCTCCACTTCCTTCTCTTTGTCCATCACCCTGCCTTCTTCCCCTGCATGCAATGCAGCCACTTCGCCCGAACCCATGTCGATTTCCGACGAATGCGCTTCCCGCCCGCCGCACGCAGCCCCTCCCGCCTACACCAATATCCCTGGTTGGCTGCCCTTGCCTGAGGATGTTCGGATCCCGGCGAACTTCGTCGTCTCCCTGTTGCCGGGCCCTCCACACGCCTCGCCTGAAGAAGTTCGGATCCCAGCGATCTTCGCCGTCTCCCTGTCGCCGGGCCCTCCACACGCCTTGCCTTAAGAAGTTCGGATCCCGACGAACTTCGCCGTCTCCCTGTCGCCGGTCCCTCCACACGTACGCTCTCGCTCCGACCGAAGCGGTTGGCGATCCCCCACAGGCGGCGAAGTCCCGTCCCTCACCGCACCACTGTCTATTTTGGGATGATGACTCGCCACCCCCGGTCGTGACCATCTCTGCGCGTCCGTCCTCTTTGTCCGCTCTGCAAGCATTGAAGTTCGGATCCCGCCGGACTTGAACGTTTGACCGAGCCGGCACGGAGAGCAACCAAGGCCGCCATCACCGAGCAGGCGGATGAATTGGGCACGTCCGCCGACTGTGCCGAGCCTTCCGGACCGGGACCAGTAGACTACTGACGGCCGAGGGCCTCCCCCGCCACCCCGCCGCTGCCTTCCGCTGTCATGGTGTCACCCTGAGACCCGCCCTCAGCCTTGTCGCCCTCGTGTTGTCGCCCCGGGACTCGTTTGCCACCCCCAACCTCGTCGCCCTCATTCTCCCCATCGTCCGGTCCCCGGGACCCTGTACTTACATGCGTCCCACTGGGAGGGGGGATTTTCCAGTCCACCCTTCCTTTCGAGGGGCTCGTGTCGAGGTCGTAGTAGTCCTCCGTCAGCTCCAACCAGCACTTGTCCTGAAGTTCAGCGAACAATCGCCCGGCTATGGAAATGACGGGCACATCTTCGAGTGCGAAAGAGTCATTCTCGGCCCTCACTTTCTGGAGGACCGCAATTCTAGCGACGTCGAGGAAGTCAGACTTCGACCCGCTAGGGAGTGGCATCCATCCTCCGTCCGGGACAGCGACCGCCACGATCCACTCACCCTTTTGGATCGCCAACTGGATGACTCCTGGATGCCAAATCATGTCATGGCCCCAGTCCGCCTCCGTGGAACGACTTTGAGGCTCAGGCAGGAAGTGAATGTTCGCATTCGTCCAAGACAGATGATCGGGCGAGATGTCAGACCCGGGACGCAGTGAGCGATGGCCGAAGGCCAGAGCTTGCATTCTCTGCAGCAACTTCATCGGGGTAGTGACAGGCGCCGGTTTCGCCATCGGTGACACGAGGGACGCTGGGCTTGTCGACAGACCTACCAAGGATGACCCTGTAGCATGCTACGCGGAATGTTGGTCGTACTGCAGGTTGAGGCTTTCGGTGTCGCTGCCCTCCTCGTCCCTGGTTGCGTCGAACTCGATTTCGGTGGTCTCCTCGTCTTCCGTGGAGATCAAGGAGGAGTAACTGCTGAACGTCAGCTCCTCCTCTGACTCCACGAAGTAAAGGGACTGCAACCTCTCGAGGAAGGTCTTCTCGTTCATGCGGGAGACGCCGTGGTAGTTGTCGAGCAACGTGAACATGTGGTCCTTGCGGCGCACGTACTCGGCGTCAGTGTCTCTCTTCAGCCGCGTTTGCAGGAACAAGAAGTCGTATATCTTGTTCCGCTTCCTCGCACTCAACTTGAACCACATGTCCGTCTTGTTGTTCCACGCGCGAGCCCGAGTCTCGGTGACGACCATGAACTCGCAATTGTGGGCACCCGAATTGCCCTCGCTTTTGACGAGATCAATTGTAAATTGCAAGAGCTCGGAGTTCCCTTCCATCGCGTTGACGTGCCGTCCTGCCTTCAGTATTTCCCAGACAGACCGCGCGTGTGGCTTCTCGAGGAAGACGACACCCTCCCCCTTTTTGGTGACGGATTCGAGAAGCTGAACGAATTGCGCAGGGTTGCGTTCCATGTCCCCGTACACACTGCCCCGACGTGCAGGCGAGGTATGTGACCAGTCGCAAGGGTTGAACGGGATGTCGGACACATCCGTTTGCGTAACCTTCTATGGTACCCGCACTGCAGCAGCGGCGCTTGCCGGCAGTTTCCCCTCGTAGACGACGGACGCGTTGGCCAGCAAATCAAAACCTTTGAAGAGTATGTACATTCGGTCGTTTTCCGTGTACAAATTGTTCCCGACGGGGAAGCTTTTCTTCTGTTGACTCCTCCTCACCCACTTCCCTTCCAGCAACTTGACGAAAGAAAGATGGTTCATGCTGGCCAGAAAGTAGAGGTTCTGCTGCCGCGGGACAATAACAACGAGCGTCCAATGCGACGGACACCACGCATGGAGTTGGGAATCTCGAGTGTCGAACGCTTGCGATTTCCAAAGCTTCAGATCCACCGGTTTGCACAGATCGAGGACAAACGTGTGACTCTTTGTGGCAACCACTGCCTCCTTCACCTCCGCACTCCTTATGTCTGCCTCCAAGGGGTCGTTGCCGAATGGCGCAATGGATGTCACGTCGCCTGTGTCATTCCATTTTATGTGCACAATGCCTTCGGCAAGCGCGATCTCTCGACTCTTCAGTCTACAGCCAGTCAACATGGACAGGACCTTATTCCTCCAGTCGACGGACAACTTCTTGTGACCGGCCAGCTTCTCCGTCGCCTCGATCGATCTGTCGTCGTCGCAGCCCATGTAGGGCGGGCAGTCCTTGAACAGCGAGGAGTCAGTGGCGTATTTCGTGCTTCCGTCCCACAACTCAGCATCCAAACCACGACTCTTAAACTGTCTGAAAATTGCGGACCTTGATTTCAGGAACGGGAACCTCTGGCTCCAATCCGCGTCCGACCTTTTGTCGTGCTTGAACTGGTAGTAGTTCCACAGACGCACCAGCACCCGGTCGCACTTCACCAAATTCACCACCTCCTGGACGCTCAGCTTTCCGAGCTTCGCCAACGCTGGGGAGCCGACCTGTACCCAAACCACCTTGCAAGCGAGCACCTTCTTCAGGACGCAACACTTCTCGTTGTCTGTCAGCGACTCCATCGTTTTCCAACAATGCGCGTCCGGCTCTGGCACTTGCACGAACCACTCGCCCTCCTCTTTCTCCTTTTTGCCTTTCTTTGTCGACGGGTCCACAGGGACGTTGTACACGACCTCCTTCCTGCCCAGCTTGTCATTATGGATGTATGCAACCCCAGGCTTCACGTTTTTGACTTTCTTCTTCCGCATGATCCACTTTGCGTCGTCGTGTCCGAGCAATCTGCCTGTCTCCAGACGTTCTCCCCTGCCATCGCCAGCGGGAAATGGGAACGCAGGGCAGCGCCTTGTTTCCTGATGGCCTCCTCGCCCTGCTGATCTGCGAGAATCCACAAGTTGTTGTGCAGTGTCATGTTGAGTGCGACATTACAGAATTCAAGCCACTTCCGGACTTGATCCTGTTTTCCGCTGGGGTTTCCCATAACAGCACGCGGGCAACCGGCGCGCTTCCACTGCCACCTAATGTCCCTCATTGACAGCTTCAACTGTCGTGGGGCCGCCTTCAGGTCCTTCATGTCGTCCTGGGAACTGACAAGGAAGTACCCTTCGAAGTCGTCGTCCGAAAAGTTGACCATTCCTGCAGGCCACCGCTCGACATTGTATTTCCTGGCCACCTCGCTGCCGAGCAGCGACCTCGCTGCAGCCGCGTTGTGCTGCCCACACACCGCGTAGTAGTAGTATTGCCCCGCCAGCTCATCCCTCCAATCCTCCGGCCTCAGGCGTTCTTCCTTGGTCCCCGGAGTCGGTTTATCAAGCCCCAGCGGCACCAGCTTCAGGGTTGGTAAATCGTAAGGCTGCGCTTTGTTTTCGAACGCCAACCGCATCGCTTCTTTGATCCCTTCCACGAGCACGGGATCGAGGGACCGCTGGTTGTACATGTCCTCCCAGTCCCCGAGGTCGACGACCTGCGCAGGGCTAATGTCGAACTCCCGCTTTGTCGAAACGCCGTCTTTGTACTCGAGGAAGTACCCGACGTCGACGTCGATGGGAGTCCCTGTTGTCGGTGGAGAAGACGGTCCAGAATCAGGCTGCTTCTGTCTCGAAGACGGTCGTTTGGCAACCTGCCGACCCTGATCCCCCTCGGTCCCCTTGCAATTCTCCCCCGCAGTCCTGGGGGCCTTGCTCTTTAACTTCTTCGTAGAACCGGCGAACTCGTCTGGACGATCCCCCCTCCTCTTTTGCGGAGCTCCTTGCGAGCCCAGGCCTCCTGCGTCCACCTCCTCCACACCCTGTCCCTCGCTCGCCTCTAAGTCGACCTCCGAATAGGCCGCCACATGTACTGTAGGCCCCGTACTCTTCCACTGAACCGGAGCATCAGTCTGAACCCCAGGAATAGACAACACAGACCGCCGCGTGTCACTCAACGGCGGAGCAGTCCCCTCATCCTCGCTGTCGTCGAACTGACCTCGGCTCTCGCCACGGCGCAGCTGAGTGGCGGGACCAGAACCCAGATCATCGCCCTCCACCGCTGCCCCGCTTGACTCACAACCGCTACACGGCTCCAGGGATGGGTTGACGTCGCAGAGGACGTCTAGAGCGATGTTTTTGTCCTCCAACATATCGAAAAATTCACGCGCCAAAACAAAACCGCCCCCGAGAACGAGTTCTCTGTAGAACGGGGTATTCACAGCACCCGCTCCGAACCCCTCACACAATTCGAGGTCCAACGACGTCCCTTTCGAATTGGCAACGACGTTGCCCTTGGCGCCATAAACGTTTTGCATATAGAAATGTCGCCGGCCCCCCTTTGCGTCCTCCCACCGCAAGACGGCACCAAGCACTCTACGCCTTCTGCTGTCATCGATGAAGATGACAAGACCACATGGTTGCGCAGTGGGGTTGGAAGCGTCTCCACAGCACCAGTCGATGAACCATTTCGGCCTCGAATGGTTCGACCACCCCTGTGTGGCAGTAGACGACGGCCTCGTGGAATCTTTTCGTGATTCCTTCCTGGAGGTCCTGTTGGCTCCACCCCGCCCTTGGAAGAAGACATACTGTCTGCGAACGAGATTGCAAATCGAACAACACACCATGAAGTCAACGTCTGTCAAAAGACAGGAGAAACAGAACACTCGTTGCCGCACGTCAACGCAGGCTGTAGCGCAGCGAAAGCCGCACACGAAGACACCCGGGCACCCAAATCCGGAACGGTGAGAAGGGGTAGTCCGCCGGTATCCGAACTTCAAGTGGGCAAGAGACCAAGAGGCAGACAGAGAGAGAGAGAAACAAGTGAAAACTCGCAATGCGCATGGGATCACGCGTTGTTTATGCAGCACATGGGGCACCCCGAAGAACAAAGATAGACAAACGCACAGTGAAAATCGCGAAGTCCGCCGGGTTCCGAAGTAAAGGACGGTGCGTGAGATAGAGACGGCAGAATCAGATTTCGGGAATTTTTCGCAGGAGTCAACTGGCGGTCATGTCTGAAACTCGCGCTCGACGGGGTAGTGTTCCCCGCGTGGCACTCGGAACCCCCGACAGTCCAACAACCGAAGCTCGCCGGGATCCAAACTAGAACAGGGCGCGGGAGACATACACAGAGCCAGCCATGCAGCCAACGTCCCAGAACCGTGCTCGACCAAACGCACTCCGGAATCATTGCCGGGCGGGGTGTGCGACCCACCCGGAACCACGAAGGCTCAAGACAAAGCAACGCACCTCCCGAAACGTGAAGTTCGCCGGGATCCGAACTTCAAGACGATGCGACAGGCAGAAACGGCGTCAGGGACACACGATCCGCAAGTCTAAGGTTGTTAAACTCAACCCCGACCCAGGAAGGCCACACCGGAATGAAAGGCTGGTTGAAATGGAGAAGTCAGCCCTAATCCGAACAACTTCTGATTTCCGATCTCGCATTATGCACAGCTTGGCACTAGATGAACCCAAGCTTGAAAGCGGCAGCCGTGTCAACATTTCATAGGTCCTTGGACTCTGGCTGTTGCCGCAATCCACGAGGGATCCGGAAGACCACCGTCTGTGGCAATAGACAGGCGACTTCTGAAGTTCGCCGGGATCCGAACTTCAAGAGGATGCGAGAAAGAGAGACAGAGAGAAACATTGGAGCAACTTCGAGTCCAAACGCAAGACGGGGTTCGACCAAGGCGCACGAGGAAAACCCCCGGGGTTCAACAGCCGACCGCAGGTTTTGATGGCAGGAGTCATTGAGTCCAGGCGTAATTGGTAGCAGGACCGTTTCCGACTCCGCCCAGCACTCGAAGCTCGGAGGCCGGTAGGACGCACAGACCAAACCGCGAAGTTCGCCGAGATCCGAACTTCAAGAGGGCGCGACAGGGAAAGAGACGGCGTGCACTAGCAACTGCTGCCTCCCGCGCCTTTCTCCACTACTAAGACTCTGCCATGTTCGGCAGCACACAAGCCTCTCACTCGTCTCCCTTCTTTTCGCTTAAGCAGGATGTCCAACCACACGTCCAGATCTTGTGACAATCGCGGTTCCCCGGGGACGAGGTCGCGAACCGTAGCCATACAAAGCATTCATTGACGATCCGTAAACGCGGACCAGCGGATCTTCGACCGTTGCAGTCTCCGAAAAGACGGACATGTATTTCATCCTAACAAACACTCCCGGTCGTGCTAAGGAGTTCCCTATACAGTCCCGTATGGCGGACACTTTCTCCTTGACCTCCCTATGCAACGAAAAGTTCTGGACCGGCCCTGCTATCACCAAATCCGGCCATCCATCCACACGAACAGGCCCACGCGTTGCCACGAGTTTGGACCCCTCAATTGCCATCTCGTTGCGTGACACAAGCACAACAGCATCGACGAGCTTCCTACTCTTGTTTGAAGTAGCGACACACAAAACCCTGGCGAAATCAGATCTGGACACAATCAACTGCACACAACAGTATGACACAGCTTGTGGAGAACTCCCGGGGCAACGGAGCGGGTACTGCTCCAGGAACGGGCAGTGTCGAGCAGGGGCCAGCAACTCGTGTTTCCGCGAGCCTCCCCAAGTTCGTGGTGACGACGTGACGTATTGGCACTCGAGGCGACTAAAATGTCGGCTAATGCAGCCTACTGCTCTGCGCATGTGGTTTAGGAAATTGTGACCGAGGACAGCGTCAGGCAGCAGGATGAGGGACCCAAACTCCAACATGTTGGCGAACTTGTACTGGCCTGCCCAAGGGCAGTCACTCTCCATCGTGGCCCAATTGTCGTCACACCAACCGTCAATATGTCTGCCCATGCACGGACGACGATCATCCAGGGGTCCTCCTCGAATTCCTCTGCGGTCGATACCTGGATCGTAGTCACATCGTTGAAATGCCGCACGGATCTCGCACAAGGAGGAAACGGTTCTGCCAAGCGAATGTGCGTCTCGGGACTCATGGTCTGTGGTGTCGAGAACATCGACTCCATGATCCGTGGTGTCGAGAAGGTCCCATCCATTACGCGCCCTACACACCACACGCACATACCAAACGACACACACGGGGACGCTGACACTCGTAAACATAGTTGGCGAGCAATCAAACGACATAGTCTGCACGGATCGTTGTTGCACTGGCAGTCGACGTTAACAGGCCGCACTCGGAGAACCATCACGGTTCCCAAGACGGGCACAACGCGGAGTTCGGATCCCGGCGATCTTATGTCGTTGCGAGAAGTCGTCGGACGCCAGAAAGATCACAGGCAGAACTCGCGTCATGCGAAACCACGAAGTTCGTCGGGATCTGAACTTGACGATTGTGCGAGGAGTTATGTCTGCCCTGAACGCACGAGGCGGTAGGTCCACCACGACGTGATCATTCGTCGTTGTCACGCTGTGCAGTTTCGCTTTTTGTGACCTCCGGTTGTCGAGGAAGTGCACATTCGAAAACGCAGTTCTGAATGCCGTGAAGTCCGGAATCGAGCAGACTTGGTGTGCTTGTCACATCCACGGGGCAGCAGGCGAGTCGGTAACACGCCCCGCCAATGGCGGGAAAGCAATGCTTGTCGTGATCCGAACTTGGCGAATCTGCGTGGGAGAGACGAAGTTGTCTCTCCCACTTGACGTCCCAAACATGCTTCAACTTCGGATCCTGGCGAACTTCGGATTTTCACGTATCCGAAGTTTTGACAATCCACCGCGCGCCAGAAATCCCACGGTCGGAACCGTCACCGTGCGGAAAGCGAAGTGGGCAAGATTTCGAACTTGACGATTGCACGAGGAACCGTGCGCGAGAAGTTCGGATCCCGGCGGACTACGTATTTTTACGAGTTTGTATTACGCCGGAGTCCGAACCTGTGGATTGTGCGAGGAAACGTGCACGCACAGTTAGGATCCGCGGGCCAGCTGACGAGCCGCAAACATGTCTTACCTGAAGTTTGTCGGGATCCGAGCTTGGCGAAATTTCGAGGGAGAGACACAGCTGCCCACAAAACTCGCCATCCCGTGCATTCTTGAAGATTAGATCCCTGCGGACTTCACATTTTCATAGGTCCCTCGCTGTGGTTGTGCACTGGGGTTGCAACGAGAGTTGGGTTTCACGAAAGGCAAGAACATGAAGTTCGCTGGGATTCGAACTTGGCGAAATGCCGTGGGAGAGACACAGCTTTCTATCAAACTCGCCTTTCCATTCTTTCTTGAAGTTCGGATCCCGGCGGACTTCACATTTTCAAAGGTCCACTGCTGTGGTTGTGCACTGGGGTTGCAACTCGAGTTGGGTTTTACGAAAGGCAAGAACCTGAAGTTCGCTGGGATCCGAACTTGGCGAAATGCCGTGGGAGAGACACAACTGTCTATCAAACTCGCCTTTCCATTCTTTNCTGGGATCCGAACTTGGCGAAATGCCGTGGGAGAGACACAACTGTCTATCAAACTCGCCTTTCCATTCTTTCTTGAAGTTCGGATCCCGGCGGACGTCACATTTTCACAGGTCCACATTTGTGGTTGTGCACTGGGGTTGCAACTCGAGTTGGGTTTTACGAAAGGCAAGAACCTGAACTTCGTCGGGATCCGTACTTGGCGAAATGTCATGGGAGAGAAACAGTTATCTATCAAACTCGCCTTTCCATTCTTTCTTGAAGTTCGGATTCTAGCGGACTTCACATTTTCACAGGTCCACCGCTGTGGTTGCCCGCTGGGGTTGCACTGCGTGTTGGGTCTTGCGGAAGGTGTGAACCGGAGGTCCACCGGGATCCGAGGTTGGCGAGATTACGTGGGAGAGACACAGATGTCTATCAAACTCGCCTTCCCGTGCTTTCTTAAAGTTCGGATCGCGGCGGACTTCACATTTTCACAGGTCCCCCGCTGTCGTGTGGTGGCTGCACAACGTTCAACGTTAGATGACCAACAAGTTTCGATGACCGACGAGGTTTGCCGTTCAGTGGCGTTCGATGTCCGCCAACATTTCGATGCCCGCCGAGGTTTGATGGGGCACCAGGTTCGATGCCAAACAAGGTTCGATGGCCAACAAGCTTCGATGGCCAGCAACGTTCGATGTGCAACAAGGTTGTCACGAACTGTTTTTTGTCCATTCCCGAACAGGGATCGACCTTTTTCACGGGTTTCTACCGTGTGGTTGGCCAATTGCCTTGCGTGCTGCGTACGACCAATGGACGAGGAGGCAGGTCGAATGGAGTGCAATCGGGGCGAGAAAAGTGAACCGCTCGGCTGGCATGTCGGTGCACTGGTCGGCGAGCGGCCGATCAATCAGCTAATTGGCCAACCACAAACCCAAAAGTCGATTAATCAAATAATCAGTTACTCGTGCCAACGCTCTCCTGTCAACCAGTTTGCTGGATCGGTCGTTCGCCTGCCGGTTGGGCGATCGCGCAGAGGGTGATGCCACGATTGCAACGCAAGCACACGTTCGGCTGTATGGTTGGTGGACTGCTGGATCAACCGGTCGTCCGACCGCAGTCCGAACAATCGTTCTGTGATGTTGGTCGTGGTGGATCTATTGACCAGTCTACTGTTCGGTCGGGGTACATCAACGAGTGTGATGGATTGGTCGCTCGCCGCCCGGTTGGTCGTTCACGCACGGTGTCACATGTGTTTTGTTGTTGCATTTGATACTAGCGAAAAAAACACATGCGGTGACAACGTTGAGACAGCACACGCGATCAATCGACCGATCGCGAGCTCTCTGTTCGTGTTCGGCGATTGGTCGACTGGGTACGTCTACTGTCCCGACAATGTCACCTCCTGCTTTGATTGATCATCAATTCGCCAGATCAGCGGCGGTAAGGTGATCAATCGGGATGGTCCTATTCATCACTCACGTGCGTTATCGCCGATGTCATTACTCACATGTGGATGATTGATGTGATGAGTGGAGAAAGATCCGATCTGCCACGCGGTTATTATGTTTCGTGATCGATCGCCTCGCGCTCCATCGAAGCTTTCATCATGCATCAGTTAATCAGCTCATGAGAACTGCCCAATGGACGGCCGATCGAAACACGCGGTGACAATGTCGAGAGTAATCTGATCGTGTTCCGCGATTGGTCGATTGGTCGAGTACTCATTCACTTTTCATTGCAATGTTCTTGTTTGTTGTGTTCATCAGTGAAACGAAAACAAAGATATGATTTATAGTCTAGACTGCATATAATCAAGGAATATTATCTATCTTCTGCTCTGGACTGTCTATAATCAATAATGAATACTATCAAATCAATGAATGTTGTCTATCTACCCATCTATTGTATCTCTGTCGCCGCCTGTTTCGATTAATCATCCTTTGAGAAGATCGACAGCTGTTACGTTGGGACAGCAAACAGGAACAATGGAGTGTGGTCAGTGGTCAAGATGTGATGAACTGATGAATGTCGACAACTCCGATCGAACGCACTGTGGCCAGTCACAAAACATAATCACCCCGTGCTCGATCGGATGTTTCTCCATTCATTAGTTTCATACACAACAAGAGCACACAAGATCCACACAGGTCGGAACGTCGTGAGGTACAACTTACCTCTACCCGAGGGGTTGTCACCACCCTCAGGTAGACGTATCCCTGCTGAGCTACCGGCTCATGTGCGAAGGCTTTTACATACCTGAGTAGAGGTAGGTCGGCCGAGGGCATTTGTTCGATCGCTGTAGCATAAAATGGGGTACGCGAGGTAAGACGCCTAGAGCTGACCCGTTTGGATATTTAGGTCGAATTTTCAAAAAGGCAGTCTATTCCCCTACTGCGTAATGTATTATATTCTTGACAAATATCAATCAAACTATCTTTCTACCAAAGAGCGTCCTATTTTTCTTAATAGGTTATTACTTAGCTGAACATCAAAATAGTATAGAAGGTAAGCCGGACATATGATGAATATGGAAGTATTACCGCCGAAAACCCTTCCCACTTTCACAAGTGCTGTGTGTCCGAGACTCTTCAACAAACCACGTCCAGTTCAATCAAAAATAACGCACAAAACAGACCTGCACAAAATAATGCAAAGATAGTTCACATGCCATGCACTAACGGCATCAACCATCAACCACTTACATTGTCCCTCACTCCCCAAACCATGCATGACAACTCTATCTTTCTTGAGATGCAAGCCCACACCCCCCTCACACTTATTCAAAGGACCCTTGAGAGTGACCAGGACCATTTAGGCGACGACCACATGTGACAGTTTTACTGACCACAGGGTTTGTTTTTGGA